CATCGGGTTCGGGTTCAAACGGGTTGTGGGTTAGTCGGGTTGCGGGTTCATCGGGTTCGGATTCAGTCGGGTTGCGGGCAAATCGGGTTGCGGGTTCATCGGGTTTTGGGTCGGGCGGGTTGCGGGCGGGTCGGGTTTCGGGTTGTTCGGGCCATCGCATCAAGTAACTTAACTCATTACTCATTACCAACTTACACATTTTATTACACTAATTTAAAATATTTTCTCAACTTTTTAACCAATTTATTTCTACCTCGTATATATATACTTTATTTTTTTGAAAAAAACTAGTCAAAATGTTAAATCAATTTGTACGACTTGCAAACTTGTTATGTAATTAATCATAATTGGTAAAGTATTATAGCTAATAGTAATGGTGATATCAATATTTGCAACCGAAAGACACCGTTAATTGTTTATTTGATATTTTAGTATTAATTCATTAGTAATTGGATTAAAGTATCTCGTTTAGTATAACCATGCAAATCTGGTATTTGGCGTGTGGTATTTGGCAAAAGCATAGTGATAAAAGGAGTTATTTCAAAATAACTCATTGCCCAAATAACTTTAATAAACTGTTGTCAAACGAGTTATTTGTAAAATTGTTCGAATTATCCTACAAATTGAACCATTAAAGATTAGCTATCAAATTTAGTAAAATTATTGAGACTTCAATCATAACTTACTCAATAGCATATATCTTATACACTTAGCTTTACCCTCAATCAACAATATTAAGTTAGTATATGTTGTTGATTGTATACCCTAAACCATCAATACATTATACACTAACCACATAACCTATACCATAATCATATGTCCTTGAGTTGTGATTTTGCTAGTATAGTTAATTTAAAAGTGAAATTCATACTTTGATTTTCAAAACATAGTAAAAAGTGATATTTGCTAATTGTTATACCCTAACCATATATCCTATACTTTACACCACATACCTTGTACCCTAACCACGTACCATAAACATAATTTAAAAAGGGATCTCCTGCCGTTAAAGACTTCAAATGACTTCAAGTGAACATATGTTAATAAAAAACTTAGAACCGTCAAAACCATCAATATCTTGTACCCTAACCATATACACCCTAAACCATATGTACCTTATACGGTTATACCTTATATCCTAACCATATACTTTATATCCTAAACAACGAACCGTCAAAGATTACTTATCAAGTTTAGTATAAATTATTGTAACTAATGGTTAATTTATTTATTAGCCCATAAAAATTACATACATATATACATATTAGCCTTCAAAGCATATAATAATAATTTTAACTAGTCATGCTCTCCATATAAAAGTTAAAGATTCATATTTCAAAAGCTAAAATTATGAAAAACCAAAAAATTGAAAACACCAAATTTGTTTCCTTCTTTCTTTTCACAAAAATACTAAAATTTCCCTCATTCTTTCTCCTTCCATACATTAGAAAAACTCAATTTTCCCTCCTCTTTCTCTTCCATAAAATTGAAAGAAACAAATTACCCTCTTCTTTCCTTCTACAAAAAGTTGAAAAGTCAAAAGTTTCCCTCCTTATTTCTCTTTCATAATCAAAATAATCAAATTTTCCCACTTCTTTCTCTTCCCACATATCAAAACCACCAAAATTCCCACTTGTTTCTTTTCTAAAAAAATTCAAAGAACCAAATTTCCCTCTTCTTTCTCTTCCCAAAAACTTGAATACACCAAAATTTCTCTCTTCTTTTAAAAACATCAAATTACCAAATACATTACTTTACTTTATTTATATTTTATTGATAATTTTATTGAATAGTTAAATTATCCAAAATTTTAATTTATATATTATATTAATTTTGTCATGATCTCAAGTGACCTTCATGTTTCATTTTTTGTAATTTTCTTAAAATACGTAATATCAAGTGAGTTTCATATTTTTAAAATTTCTTATACGAAATGAAAAAATAATTTTACTTAAGTTTAGAATGAAAAACTTTATTTTGAAAAACTATGTATTGTATATTTTTATAATTATTCAAGTGGATTAGATGATTTTCGAGTTGAGTCGGTCGGGTTACGGGTTAGTCGGGTTTGGGTCAATCGGGTTCGGGTTAATCGGGTTACGGGTCAGTCGGGTTGCGGGTCAATCGGGTTCGGGTTAATCGGGTTGCGGGTTAGTCGGGTTGCGGGTCAATCGAGTTGCGGGTCGGGCGGGTTACGGGTTGTTGACTTTTAGTCAATTCGGATTGCGGATCGGGTTAATCGATCGGGCTATGTTTTGACACCTATTGTATTTGCCATTTGATCCTAACATTTTTAACGACTATTCCATGTGTCTTTGCATACTAATTTATTCAAATGAATTACTATAAAACAACGACAAATACATATATGTCCCTCAATCAACAGCGTGAATGCTTTTTTAACAGGTAGAAAACCAATTAGAGGCAAATGGAAATATATATAGAGGCAAATAAGCTTTTTGTTGCTGTATAGTAAGGTTTAGGGGCAGATATAAAAAGTGCCTCCAATATTTGTCGCTATAGCTCACTTTTCTTGTAGTGGTTGCCAAATCTTAAAAAATCGTTGCCTAATTTTCGAAAATGTGTTGCAAAAATTGTGAAAGGTGTTATCTAAAGTGGTGTTGCATAAGAGGTAAGGATACACAACACTTTAAATTTGGGTTGCAAAAAATGAAAAACGAGTTGCCTATTCCTTTTGCAACCCCCACTATATGGAACCCCACCAAAAGTGTTGTGGTAGGATTTTGCAACTATTTTAAGAAATTGTGCAACACATTTGTGAGAGTTGCAAGAGACCATTTTTCCCGTAGTGGCGTATGAGGCTCTGTTGGTTTTTAGGCTAGTCCAGTTCAAACCGGCGATGGGAGATGGATCAGTCTAGCAATGGTTGTCTTGCGCAGTTCTAGCAATGGATCGCCGTGACCGGAGGTGCTTTAACATTTTGGAGTAGTTCATGGCGTAATTCAGGAGCCTAATCACTTAGTTAGTATATGAAAACCCACTTCTCTTCTCCTCTTTTCACTCCCTTTCTGTTACTAAACTTCAGCATCCCACCATTGTATTTCCCTCCTGTAATTGAGGCACTCAGTTATCATTAGTATTATAAGTAAACCAGATCAATAATACCAACACAAGTTGAGCAGCGTTTACATGGTATTAGAGCTACCTACACTCAACCGAGTCTGATCCTTCTTCTTCTTCTTCTTCTTCTTCTTCTTCTTCTTCTTCTTCTTCTTCTTCTTCTTCTTCTCGAAAATACAGCTGCTATGTCTACTGATTCTTCCACCTCCACCACCACCAAATCTTCTTCCTCTATTCATTCCTCTATGATTACTCAGCCCACCAATCCCCAACTTACGCTCAAGCTCTCTCCCACTAATTACTTGATTTGGATCACTCAAACTTTTCCTCTGCTACGCTGTCATCGCCTAATGGGACATGTCGATGGCACTTCTCCTGCTCCACCGAAGCAAATCGATGGTGCACCCAACCCTGCCCACGAAGTCTGGTATGAACGAGACCAAGTGGTTCTCATGTGGAATTCATTCTCTCTCTCTGAATCTGTATTTCCTAACATCATCAACAAGAACACTGCCTTTGATACCTGGTCTGCGCTAGCACGTATCTATGCTTATGTATTTGGATAACCTCGCACTGTCGCACATCATTGTGAATACAATGGCACCGATCACATTCTATTTGGCAATGGTAAAACACTTTCTATATCTCATTCTGACTCATCCAAAGCTTGTCTTTCTGATCAATCTATTTCTCTCGATAATATTCTTTGTGTGAAAATGCCCCATATAATCTTCTCTCCATTAGCTCTCTCACACGTTTTAACCCCATCTCTATCGAATTTGTTGATCACTTTTTTGTTATCAAGGATCGTCGTACCAAACATGAGCTTCATCGCGGCTTTGCTATCAACGGTCTCTACACCCTTCCACTAGAGATTGGTCGTCGTCTTGCTCCTCAATCATTCCTTGCTTCGCTTGACGTTTGGCATCAACGCTTGGGTCACGCCAATTTATGTGCTATCAAACATGCTCTTCAAACAAATCAAATAAAGTTTGCTTCTAGTTCATCTTCTCTTTGTCATGGTTGTTCGATTAGTAAAAATCACAAATTTCCCTTTCCTCCATCCACTTTTCAAGCCACTTCACCTTTGGAGCTTATTTGTAGTGATGTTTGGGGTCCCGCACCTACACTTTCATATGATTCCCAATCTTATTACATTCTCTTTTCTGATCACTTTAGCAAATTCACATGGATTTATTTTGTTCAATATAAATCTCAATTGCTTAGTGTTTTCATACAATTTCGCGAACTCGTGTAAATTTTTTTCGGCCTACCTATAAAAACATTTCAATCGGATTGGGGAGGTGAATATCAAGCATTGACTACATATTTAGCGGCTCATGGCGTTTCTCATCGTTCTTCTTGTCCATATACTCCTGAACAAAATGGCTGTGTTGAACGAAAACACCGACGTATCGTTGATAACGGTCTTGCCATGCTTCATCATGCCCACGTTCCTAAAAAATATTGGCCCCTTGCCTTTGACGCATTCTTCTATCTTATTAATCGGACCCCAACCCCATTGCTCAATAATGCCAACCCTTTCTCCGTCCTCTTCAAACGCTCTCCTGCCATGGCTAATCTCCGAGTTTTTGGTTGTCTTTGTTACCCCTGACTGCATCCTTACAATCCCAACAAACTTGCTCCTCATTCTCTTCCTTGTATCTTTCTCGACTATTGCAAACTTCATAAAGGACATCGTTGCCTACACATTCCCACTGGTCGTATATATGTAAGTCGTCATGTACTTTGTGACGAATTCATATTTCTATTTTCCAATAGTCTGACTCTATCCCCTCCGGATATAGCTTCCACTGCTGCTACTACTCCAAGCCCAACCATTACATTACCCACACATTCCCCTCCTCTCGGCTCCATTCTACCTTCCCCAAACACTCCACTCCGTCAGCCCACTCCCTCTAGTCCCATTCTACCTCCCCCGCCACCATTACCTTCCCCTGGGCCTCAGCCCAATTCCCCATATGCTTCTCCCGATTAGCCCATCCCATCTCCTCATTCCTCAGCCTCTTCGCCACTCGCCTTACTGCTCCCCAGCATACCAGAAACCCCACTCCCTCCCCTGACCCTCCGCCACCCACCAATCCCACAAGACCTCCGCCCACCAAATTATCACTACCCAAACCCATTCCCATCCGACCACGCTTCACCACCTCTCCTCGTCCCCTCGTCCAACCCACCCGCATTCCCATAATCACATGTGGCAAGACTGGGCATCTTAAACCCAAAATCTTTGCCGTCGCCATCGATGATGAGCCTACCTCTGTCGCACAGGCCCTCAAAATTCCCCATTGGAATGCTGCTATGCAACAGGAACTCGATGCCCTCCTCCGTAACAGGACTTGGTATCTGGTTCCCCGGCCTCCGAACTATAATCTCATCACCAACAAATGGATATGGCGTAACAAGCTCAATTCAGATGGTTCTCTTGAACGGCACAAAGCGCGTCTTGTTACTTGGGGCTTCCAACAGATACCGGGAATCGATTTTTCTCAGACTTACAGTCCTGTTTTAAAACCTGTCACTCTCCATCTTGTGCTTGGAATTGGTGTTACACATGGATGGGCTCTTCATCAACTCGACATCTCCAATGTCTTCCTCCATGGCAAATTGAACGAAGAGGTTTACATGACGCAACCTATTGGCTTCGTCGACCCCAAGCATCTAGATCATGTTTGTCGACTCAACAAGTCCATTTACGGACTTCGACAGGCGCCTCACACATGGTTCCGCTGCCTCGTTCATGCTCTTCAAGAATTTGGTCTCACTGCCTCCAAAACAAATCCCTGCCTCTTCATCTACAACTCCGACCGATCTCACCTTTATATGCTTGTCTATGTTGACGATATTGTGATTACAGGTTCTAATCAATCTCTCCTCAATCGCATGCTTTTTCACATTCATCAACATTTTGCTCTACGCGATCTTGGTCCACTCTCATACTTCCTCGACATTCAAGTTCTTCGTCGCTCCACCGGCATTACTCTTAGTCAATGCAAGTTCAACCTTGAGCTTCTACAACATTCCCATATGACAGAAGCCAACCTGATCTCAATGCCATCTATTATTGACATCATCAATAACAGTGCCCTTGATACATCTCCCAAGTTCACCGACCCCAGTCTCTATCGCGGAATTGTCGGCGGACTTCAATATCTCAGCTTCACCAGACCAGAGTCTCTATTGCGGAATTGTCGACGGACCCCAGTCTCAATTCCAACATGACCCCACCGACACTCATAGGGCAGCCGTCAAACGTATCCTTCGCTACCTCAAATGAACTCTCTCTCGTGGTCTCTGCATCAGTTGCTCCACAACATCCACCATCCACGGCTACTCCGATGCCTCTTGGGCCTCCTGTCCCCAGGATTAAAAATCCATCACCGGCTCCGCAGTCTTCTACGGTACCAACCTCATCTCATGGTCCACTAGAAAACAAAAATCAGTCGCAAGATCCTCCACGGAATGAGAGTACCGTGCTCTTGCTGCCGTCGCCTCCGAAGTCATCTGGCTCCAGTCTCTTCTCACAGAACTTGGACAGCCTATCCATCATTCTCGATTCTCTGGTGTGAGAACCTCGGCGCGACATAATTGGAACATAATCCAGTCTTCCACCATCGATCCAAACACATGGATATCAAATTTCACTTCGTTCGTGACCAGGTCAACAAGCAACAACTCTGTGTTCTCTACCTTCCAGCTCCGGATCAACTGGCGGATGTCCTTACCAAACCATTGCCACACACCTCATTCCACAAATTTTGTGACAAGTTCCGCTCTCCTCTGCTACACTTGCGGGGGCGTGAAAACAGATGCTCATGTCATGTGTGCTGACTCACTATGACACAACTCCTAACAAAGGCCAAGTGTAACCAATGAAAGGGACTGCAGTATAGTGACTCAAGTAATAAATATCGAATCCACGGGTCTCTAGAGTTACTATTATCAGCTTCATTTCATTATCTAGCAAACCAGATCAAGATAGAACAACTAAAACTACTCTAGCAAACTACAGTTAAAGTTAATCTAATGACAGGTTGGGCACTCACTTAGGTATGATTCCCCCTAGCCACTAGCCAGATTAATGATTGATAATCTCTAACCTGTTTCACTTTCATTCACATTGTGGAGAATCCTTAACTAGACCTTGAGTCTCGACTAAAGGAACAAGGCCCTCTTGAGTCAATTGCCTAGAGGGACGTATCCTTCTAGAACAACCGATCAAGGCGTTCTGAACTAGATTCCCTCTATCGAATGAGGTTCTCAATTGATACAAAGCAGTGAACCAACCCTCGACTAAAGCAATCGATCCAGTACTATCAATCTATGGTGCTCTATTGACCTAATCAGGTATTTGCTCTCATAGGATCAAAGCACAATCAATAATCTCGACTAAAGCAGAATTGAATCATGAAAACATGCATAGATTGAATATGAACTCAAGATTATCAAGTAAGAGTACTCATACTATCATCCAATCAAACAAACATGGCTAGGGTTCCTCAAAACCTAAGTGAAGGGAAGTTACTCCATAGAGAAGAGAGAGACTGCAGTAAGAATCTTCAGATGAACAGTCTTCAAGTACGGGCTTGTTTCTCGAACTTCCATGGCGAAGAAATCCTCCTATTCCACTCCATGATTGCCCTCAAATCGCCCTCTCTCTCTTTGGTTCACCCTTGGATATTTGGGATCCAAAACCCAGCTCTCCCCTCTCAAAAATCGCAGAAAATAGACTTATAGCCGAGCAGGGGGCAGAAACACGGTCGTGTTTAGTCCTGCCTGTGTTTTGAATCCCTTCAGCAGTCTTCACAAGAGAGGCTCAGCATGAAAAACACTGGCAGGGGCCAGATGAAACACGACCGTGTTTTTAAGGTAGTCAGCCCGTGTTTCTTCCGCCGAACCTGTTCCCCTATATTCAATGCTTCGTTTCTCCCTCGTCCGGACTCCGAATCAGTTGCCGTTTGATCCTAGACGCTCGTAGTCTCATCCTCTTTATTTTCATGACAAGCTTGCATGATTATTTGTCCATAAATGAGGTAGAAATTCGTTCTTCTTCAGGTCATACCCGAGTTTCTTCTCCCGAATCGCCAATTGATCTCCGATTGACTTGAAACTTGCGCCTATGCCTCCCTTTACTCACTAGAACCTGAAATATGAAAAAATAACACAACCTAGTATAAAATAGGCCAAGAAAACATAAATTGGAGCCAAAATGGTTAAGAAACAATTGTGCACACATGTGCAAATATGGTGCTATCCAACAACCTACTTCTATTCTCCTCTTTTCACTCCCTTTTTGTTACTAAACTTTAGCATCCCACCGTTGTATTTCCCTCCTGTAATTGATGCACTTAGTTATCATTTGTATTATAAGTAAACCAGATCAATAATACCAACACAAGTTGAGCAGCGTTTACAGTATAGCAATAGGTAACATTTTAATTAATTTCCTAATTTTAATTACAATCTTTGGTAATTGTCTTTCGCGTTAATAGCCTTTAATTAAGTTTTTCCCCCTAAGTTTTTTTTAGAAAGAACTACTACCCACAATCCCTCCCTATCCACTAACAAATCACCTTACAAAATGAAAAAGAAGCTAACTCCAACCGAGACAGCAACATGACTTTAAGTGTCACTCTATGAGCAGCCCAGTTGGCAGTCCACGGAACATCACTAAATTTTATACAATGAAAAAAGAAAAGACGATAATCTCGAAGGATGACAACTTCTACATCAGCTCGAGGATGACCAAGACAATCTTCAAGAAGCTGCAAGGAGTTCTGCAGGATACGAGTCAGAGATCCACTGTTACTGGACACCCAAGGCCAGAAGTACATGCTCGTCCGAGCCCCGAACAACAAGGCCAGACGAGCAACCAGAAACTATGACAGCAGCATCGAACTTGATCTTCAGATGGTCTTGAGGAGGACCTTCCATGAGAAGACTAGCATACACAGGAGAACGAGGCAGGGATGATGAGGCAGGCGGTAAGGAGGAGAAAGCTTCACGAGACTGAAACGAGGATTGGCGGGCAAGCGAACAGACATGAGACTGGGTATGTTTAAATACCACTTTATTTCTTGTTTTCCATATTCTCCACAATAGGCATACTACTTGGAGAATATGGGTTTGTTGGAGAATATGGGTTTGTGACTGCTTAACTAGCATAACTTGATGCCAGCACAAACTAAAAATCACAATCGGGGCCGAAACAAACATATCACTTAATCCCACAAAATATCATAACTGTATGAAAAGGGGGCAATGAAAGAACAAGTGTTCTATACTACTTTCTCGGTAACTACAACAAACATAACACCGACTTAGATAGCTAGATTGAGTTAACCAATAGTAATATTAAGTAGTATTAAGACCGAAAATGAATTCCCTTTTAATTCTTTCCATCTCATAAATCAAGGTTTAAGCAAACCATCAATGATTATAAAGCGCCATAAAGAGATTGCTTTAGTGAACGGGCCATTAAAATTCAATAACATCAAATAAGTGATGTATAAATTAAAACCCCAAATAGGGACTTCTGAGTCCGAAATGGACGCTGCCATTATAAAGGATAAGATAAAATAATAAATAATAATAATAATAAAGATGATGACAGTGAAAGCTAATTTCAAACTTTAACGAAAAATGAGAAAGCCTTGAGAAGCCAATTATAAAAAAACCCATTAATTACTGGCTACAAATTCGGCAGACTCTATTACCTTGGTTTATAACCGGTATTAATAACAATTGATTGTCAACAATCACCGTCGGACGAGACTTTCCCGGCGACATTGCCGGTAGCGGCAGCAAATCGCAGGCCAACATGGATGAATATAGTCCATCAATTTTTGTGGGGAATTCATTCCCCGACTCGGCAATGAACCCTACCATCGCAATCTAGCTGACGATGAAGCTACCATGAAAAAATGGATTTCGTCAATAATCCTCATATTTTACCATGTTTATTGAGACGACAATGAAAGAGCTTGCCAATGGAGGAGAAGATGGTGAGAGCCACATTAGCTTCGCAGAGCACTAGATATTGATGTAACGCTGGTAGAACTTGCGCTTGCCATTACATACTATTGTCGGCGAAAAAATAGAGATGGGCACTTACTTACGATGAGCGATGATTCAGCGGCACCACCCCTGCCTCGGGCCTCAAAGGCCTCCCCTGCTGTGAGCTGTGGAGGTCTATAGCGAGCTCCACCAGCTTGGCGCCACAGGTGGAGGAAAGAATCAGAAT